TGTAAGAGGCTGCATTAGGCTTCATCAAACTTTTTTTTTTGGCGATTACTTCAACAGATTTGCTCATTTCATGATGGGTGATTTACAGCCCACCTGCCCATGTTAGGCTGAGTATTCAGCAGTTTTTGACCAAAAGCGGCATGACCCCACCCTCCCTATTCACCTGATCTCCCAAGTGACTTTTTTTTTTGTATCCCCAGATGAAAAAGTTTCTCAAAGGGAAATATTTAGCCCATGTGGAAGAGGTGAAACAAAAAATAGTAGAAGTACTAAAGGCATCAAAATTGATGAATCAAAAACTTTTAAGCTGTGGAAAAAACATCTCAATAGGTGTGTTGCATTAAACAGTACTTTGGCCGGGCTCGGTGGCTCAGCCTGTAATCCCGCGCCTTTGGGAGGCTAAGGTGAGTGGAGTGCCTGAGCCCGCGGGTTCGAGACCCGCCTGGGCAGCGAGACCTCATCTCCAATAAATCAAAAAATCAGCAGGGCATGGTAGCGCGCGCCTGTAATTCCGGCTACAGGGAAGGCTGAGGCAGAAGGATCGCCGCAGCCCAGCAGGTTGAGGCTGCGGTGGCCGGGAGCGGCCACTGCACTGCAGTCTGGGCGACAGAGTGAGACTCCAACTCAAAAAAAAACAAAACAAAAAAACGGTACTTCGAAGATGAATGAAATCTAAGCATAAGAATAAAAACACATTTTTAAAATAAATAAATTCTGGGTTTTCTTTGAGTCCCCTTTGCACATTATTTTCCATAACCTTTGTATGCATGGTCAGATATAGTGTACTTAGTGCCTGATTTCTGCTTTCCATCCTGACTCCTTCCAGTGAGCACATTATACTCATAATGTGTTCATTTGAAATCATATACATTTATTGTTCACCTTTTAGGTTGGGGGGGCAGGCTGTTTCTGGGTAGCACCAGGGTTTCTGATTCAGTGGGTCTGGGGTAGGACCTGAGAATTCGCGTTGCTAACACATAGGTGATACTGATCTAGAGACCAGACAGCACTTTGAGAACCACTCCTCTAGTTTAAGTGATAATGGTCTTAAACTGATACTAAAAAAAAAAATGTGGCTTCTCTGCCACAGGGAAGGGAATTTTTTAGGGATTTGTGTGAGCTGCCACCTCCCAGCTGTGTAGAAATGCTAATTTCTGTATGGCTTTGTTACTGTCTTACTGAAAAAATTCAGAATTAAAAAAAAAAACAAAAACTTTAAAGATGTCATGCCAGGCCAGGTGTGGCGGTTCAAGCCTGTAATCCCAGCACTTGGGGAGGCTAAGGGGAGAGGATTCCCTGAGCTCAGGGGTTCGCGACCAACCTGAGCAACTTGATGGGACCTTGTCTCTTCAATAAATAAAAAAATTAGCCAGGCGTGGTAGCGCGCACCTGTAGTTCCAGCTACTTGGAAGGCTGAGGCGGAAGGATTGCCTAAGCCCAGCAGGTAGAGGCTGCAGTGGCTGTGAGCTGCATGTCACTGCACTCCAGCCTGGGTGACAGAGTGAGACTCCAACTCAAAAAAAAGTCATGCCATTTTGAAACATCTTCCTAATTGTCTTGAATGGAACTATCAGGGAGTTTTTGGTGAATCTTGGACAGCATCAATCCCTAATGGAAAGGGAGTTAGACAACTGGCTTATTTGATTGAGAACTCTTTGAGGGAGTTCTTAGGGCTGTGTCTTCTGTATCTTAGCACCAAGTTCCAGGCACTGTTCTTAGCAGTTTGTACATACTAACATATTTAATCCACATAGCACTACTGTAAACCCCTATTTTATGGATAAGGAACTGGGACTCAGGGAAGTCGAGTGACTTGCCCAAATTCCAGAGCTTGAAAGTATGAGACTCAGGTCTGGATCAAGCAGTTTAATACTAAAGTCTAGGCTCCCAACTACTATGTCATACCATCTAATACAGTGCTCAATACGTTTATTCAGTGTTATGAAAGATTATACGCCTCCTACTTCACAGAAAAAAAGTCAACAGGTATGTTAACTTCAACTTTTTTCTTCCTCCAGTCTGTAAACGTACACATCTCTACCTTCCTCCTCTCTCTTTCTTCCATTCTTCAAAAAGAAGTTTCCCTCTCTCAGTTCAAGGCCAGTCTTTGTCTATGCCCTTGACCCCACCTTTTCCTATTTTCTCTAAATTTTATCAGTTATTCTATTTGGTAACCTTGATCCCTCTCCTAACCCTTCTTCCCCTCACCCATCAACTGCTCAAGCATCTGTGACCATTCCTCCATGCAACCCAGTATTGACCTTCCCAGCCCCCATTTAATCATTAACCTGTCTCCTCCCTTTCGAGCTTCTTGAATGAACACTTCTCACCTCCTACCTTCCCTCCCATTCTTGCCTCAATAGACTACAATATGATTTTCACCCTTCTTATACTATATAAACTTTTACCAAATCCACCAGTACATCCCCAATTACTAAATGTTTTTGCTTTTTTTTTTTTTTTTTTTGAGTTGGAGTCTCACTCTGCCCAGGCTGGAGTGCAATGGTACGCTCATGGCCACCGCAGCCTCAACCTGCTGGGCTCCGACTGTCTCTGCCTTCCAAGTAGCCGGAACTACAGGCACATGCTACCATATCTGGCTAATTTTTTGGTTTATTGTAGAGACAAGGTCTCACCATGTTGCCTAGGCTAGTCTTGAACCCGTGGGCTCAGGCAATCCTCTCACCTCGGCCTCCCAAAGTGCTGGGATTACAGGCTTGTGCTACTGTGCCTGTTTTTTGCTTCTTCCTTACTGAAATTCTGTTCTGCATTTGATTGCTTCCTTCCCCCTTGAAACTCTTCATTCACTTTGTTTCCTGGGGTTGGCTCTGCCTTCAGCACTCTACCAATTCTTCCTGGGAGACCCCATCCACCCTCCTAGATTTAGATGACCATTTTTTATAAAGGAAAATCTTAGTATCTGGTATCTTAGAAAAATGGTATCTAAGGAGAGGTGGGGGTATATCCATACAGATTCTTAGCTATCTGAGGGCAAAAACAGTTTTATTTATCTTTTCATTCTCAGTTCTTAGTACAGCCTCCCACAGTAGACAAGCAATAGATATCTATTGAACAAATTACCCCTTATAAACTTTGCTTCATAGATGTCCAAGCAATCTGAAGATGTGTCCAAATGTTTGTAGAACTATTTTAAACATTGTACAGAGTGTTACATTAGAGAAGGGAACTCTCAATTTTGGCTGGGTAAGAATTTGTGAAGGTGATAGCATTTGAGCTGGAAATAGTTTAAGTCAAGTCCAGAGGCAAGAAAGGGAAGGGAAGAGTAATAACATTCAACTGCCACACCAAGAACTGGAGGACAACCACTGGCACAACTTAGTTGAAACATCAAGTTTGAAAAAGGAGATAGAAGACTTTTTTTTTTTGAGTTGGAGTCTCACTCTGTCGTCCAGACTGGAGTGCAGTGGCCGCTCCTGGCCACCGCAGCTTCGACCTGCCGGGCTCCAGCAATCCTTCCGCCTCAGCCTCCCGAGTAGCCGGAATTAAAGGCATGCGCTACCACGCCCGACTGATTTTTTGATTTATTGTAGAGATGAGGTCTCGCTGCCCAGGCGGGTCTCGAACCCACGGGCTCAGGCAATCCACTCACCTCAGCCTAAAAGACTCTTAAAAAGAGAAATAAGAAATGTCAATGGGGAGGGTCTGAAGGTTAAGCTTAGAGTGCTAGCATTAATCCATGGGCAAGTAGTAGTACTGAATAGGGTACTTAGCGAGAAGTAGTCAGTACTGAATAGGGTACTATCTGGTGGCAGAGTATGTACTGAATTGGAGCCAGGATACAGTGAAGGTGAGCAGACCATGGATGCTCCAATGAGCAAAACCAGAGCCTCAGACAGAATGGCAGCACTGAAATGACAAAGCAACTGTAGTACTTGACAAATTTCATCAAACCGAGTAATTTTTAATACCTGGAGGAACTCAAATCACTCCATGAAAAAGATAACTGCACACACATGTTTACTGTAGCATTATTCAGAATAGCAAAAACATGGAACCAATTGTGGGGCCCATCAAAAGTAGACTGGATTTTTAAGAAATGTGGTACATTTATACAATGGAATATTATGCAATCATAAGGACAAAATTATGGACTTCACAGCAACTTGGATGGACTTAAGAGTCTATAATACTCAGTGATCTACCACAGAAACAACTGAGTACCACATGTTCTCACTCATAAGCAGCCCCTGAACAATTACATAATACTATAAGAAAGGGATTAGCAGGAGTGGGAAACTGCTGGGGTTGGGTAAGGGAGCACACTTCATCAATAAGGGTACCTGATCTCAAACCAGGTGAAGTGGGGACCAAAGTGAGGCCCAAACATTACCTGTACAATGATGAATTGTACCCCACATCTTTAAAATAAATTTTCTTAATTATTATTTTTTAGAGATACAGTGTTACTCTGTCACCCAGGCTGGAGTGCAGTGGCACCATCAAAGCTCACTACCACCTTGACCTGGGCTCAAGCAATCCTCCTGCCTCCGCCTCCAGAGTAGCTGAAACTACAGGTGTGCTACCATGCCCAGTTAATTTTTTAATTTTTTTGTAGAGACAAAGTATCGTTATGTTGCCCAGGCTGGTCGTGAACTCCTGGCCTCAAGCAATCTTCCTGCTTTGGCCTCACAAAGTGCTGTGATTACAGGTGTGAGCCACTGTGCCAGACCAAATTTTTACATCTTTGATAATGAAAGATCTTAAAATTAAAACAGTCAACTGCATACTTTAATTGGCAGCATTTCTTCTTAGCAATACATAAAATACTGCTGCATCTTAAAGTTAGACTCAGTGAAATATGATAACTGGCTGTGAATAAGAAATAAATTCAAAGGCAAAGTTTCAAACCTGGGTTATTGGGAGTTTCTTGACACTTATAATGGAGTCTAACCAAATCTTCTATTTGCACAATAACCATTGACAATATTGCTGCTCACTCATTTTCCCCATTTGAATTTACTAATAATAATAAACGGAAGCACTTATTCATGACAACTTTAATATGAGCACATGTTTGAGCCTCAAGAAACCGTCATAACTGAAAGGGAGGAGCAGGCTGACACTGCAAGGAGCACATTACACTTAGGGAGGGATGACGTGCTGTTTCTGGATCCAGCTGACATTCAAATATATCACAGCAGCAGTTATCTGAATAGTCGGAACTTCTTCAAATACTGGCTCACTTCTTCCTTGGGGTAGGGCCTGAGTGCAATGCAAGTGGCTATGTTCTCTGGTTGCTCAAGCCACAGCATGTGGTCAATGTTCTTCTGCTGCAAGATCTCAGCCAGCTCCTTCAGGGTGGTCTCATCTGGAGCCTGCAAGGAGCAGAATATAGAACACAGACTGAATAGCACACTTAGGAGTGTCAAAAAGCCAGGAAAAGCAGGAGTGTCCTCTTCACTTACAGAAGTAGAAGAGGAGGAGGAGGAGGAGGAAGAAGAGGAAGAAGAGGGGCAACCATTTCATTCACTGTCTGGGAGTGAAGAAAGGAAAGATCTTTAATGTTCCTGTTCATAAAATGGAGACTTTTCTCTTCCTTTTTGAGATGTCATATGTGCTGTCAGTAATTATGTTTTTTTCACATTTTCTAGTTCTCATATGGCTGGTGCCCATAACAGCTTTCCCTAATCTTTCAGCCAGCTCTGAATATTGGAAGTATTTAAAAAATCACATCCACTTCTACCTCCCTTCTCTCCTCCCCCTCTACCTTATACAAACTTAGAAGGGTTTTCATTCTGCTGGGATAGCTCCCACTGCCAGGATACTCAAGGGAGGGAAGACTATTTTCTAACATCTTTCTGAGATCATTTCTGGGTCATCCTTACTACCCATTCACCCGTGCTGAATCCCATTATAAGAAGTATTAAAACCATCACTCAGAAAATAATTAGTGTGTTATTTTGCATAAAGAGTATTTTTTGCCTGTGAAGGCAGAAGCCACTAAGATAACCAGAGGTTTGTCTTATCAAATTAGAGAACTCCAGGATTGCCACTCTTAATCCATTGAGGACTCTAACTCCCTGCTGGAGGACTCTAACTTCTCCCTTCTTCAGCACCAGGCAGCAGCACAGTACAGAGAGATATAGTGAGTCTCTGGACTCAGACTACTGGACTCCAAACTCTTTCTGTGTGATCTTAGATAAGTTATGTGACTTGGCTGGCCTCATTTCCCCACTGTAAGATAGGAATGAAAATGCTTTGTAGGGAGGACTCAATGAAATTAGGCTCAGACCTGTGCCTAATTTTTTTTTTTTTTTTGAGTTGGAGTCTCACTCTGTCGCCCAGACTGGAGTGCAGTGGCTGCTCCTGCCCACCGCAGCCTCGACCTGCTGGGCTCCAGCCATCCTTCCACCTCAGCCTTCCGAGTAGCCGGAATTACAGGCATGCACTACCACGCCCGGCTGATTTTTTGATTTATTGTAGAGATGAGGTCTCACTGCCCAGGCGGGTCTCGAACCCGTGGACTCAGGCAATCCACTCACCTCAGCCTTCCAAAGGCGTGGGATTACAGGCTGAGCCACCAAGCCCGGCTCCTGGCACATATTAAACATCCAATAAATGTAGTTCATCTTGGCATTGCCTTATATTTTATTGGCCTTTAGGACTACAACAGCACCTCAATTTAATCAGTAGCAACTTCCAAGTCTCTCTCTTGAGTCATGGCTAACAATTAAGAATCACAGATGTCTTTCAGGGGAGTCATTTAGTCTCTGTGGGCTTTAGATGTCTCATCTGAGATAAGAGGAGTCTAACCCTGATGATTTTTTGAGACCCTCTTCCTAGAAAAAGATCTAAATAAAAAGCTACCTGCTTCTTTTCTGTCTATTCACAGATTTTTCAATATGTTTTTCCTACAGGTCACCACTTGATGTTTCACTACCCGATGGGCAATTTCTCCCTTGAAAGATAATCTGTTCGGCAGGGCTCAGTAGCTCAGCCTGTAATCCCAGCACTTTGGGAGGCCGAGGTGAGTGGATTGCCTGAGCCCATGGGTTTGAGACCAGCCCAGGCAACTTGGTGAGACCTCATCTCTACAGTAAAATAAAAAATAGCCAGGTGTGGTAGTGCGCGTCTGGAGACTTGGAAGTTGCTACTGATTAAATTGAGGTGCTGTTGTAGTCCTAAAGGCCAATAAAATATAAGACAATGCCAAGATGAACTACATTTATTGGATGTTTAATATGTGCTACTAGGAAGGCTGAGGTGGAAGGATCCTTGGAGCCCAGCAGGTCAATGCTGGGGTGGCAGTGAAGGTGCGCGCCACTGCACTCCAGCCTGGACGAAGGAGTGACACTCCAACTCAAATAAAAAAAGAAACATGCCGGGCTCGCTGGCTCAGCCTGTAATCCCGCGCCTTTGGGAGGCTGAGGTGAGTGGATTGCTTGAGCCCGCGGGTTCGAGACCTGCCTGGGCAGGTGAGACCTCATCTCTACAATAAATCAAAAAATCAGCCGGGCGTGGTAGTGCATGCCTGTAATTCCGGCTACTCGGAAGGCTGAGGCGGAAGGATCGCCGGAGCCCAGCAGGTCGAGGCTGCGGTGGCTGGGAGCGGCCACTGTACTCCAGTCTGGGCGACAGAGTGAGACTCCAACTCAAAAAAAAAAAAAGAAACATAATCTGTGTTTGCTAGCTATCTATGAAGGGATTACCCTACCACTCCACCTGAATTCTGGTTTATTTTAAAGCAATTTTTTCTCTCCTTATAAAATGTGTGCTTGATGTAGAAATTTTAAGAATACAGAGAAGCATTAAGAACTAAAATCCCACAACTTAAAATTTAGATGTACTTCCTTAGCTTTTCCTTTCAATTTGGTTCACTCTGAATACAGACTATAGTTCAGACAGCATCATATCATGAAAACTCTCTTCCATGCCACTGAATGGGCTTCACAAACATGACTTACACTAGCTTCATAATAAAAGCATAATTTAATCAATCCCTAGTATTGGAGAGGTAACAAATTCCACATGTTTTACAAATATAAAGTGCTCCTATGAATATCCTTGTGCAAAGCTCTTTGAGTACATCTGATTATTTTCTTAGGATATATTTCTAGCTGCAGAAGTAACAGACTCAAAGAGTAAGGGTGAGATCTGTTTGGTCATCTGCAAAAAGAGCCTCACGGCCATTTTTTAAAGGGGTACCGATTTATATCCGTGTCTGATATTTCTGATGCCAAGTTCAATTTATACGAGGATTTTTAACATTTGTTTTCAACTCAATTGGCGTCACACCCAGGTAAATACTTGTCTGACTTCACTTTGTACTGTCCCCATGGCGACAAGGAGCCCTGTGTCCTCATCCTCTCTGGGTCGGTTTTGCAGAGGGACAGTCCTTTGGGGCACGGTAGAAGGCCGGCAAGTGCACAGGTAGAGAGGCGGGGACCCAGGCGCCACCAATTCCCGGTGAACCGGGAAGGGTGTGGAGAAGCCCTAATCATGGGCCCGACGTCCACTCTTCACACAGCCAGACCCTGCCCGAGGAAAAGCTTCATGGGAAACAGCTCCAGTGCCTGAAACTTTTCCGAAACCTACGGGTTCCGCCCCACTCACGCAACACCCACCCCACGGCTAGACCTTTGGCCCCCAAGACCACACCCACTTCCGGGCTCCTCGGCCTTAGCGTCCCTCCCCCTCGCGCCTCACCTCGAGAACCACTTTGCGCATGCGCCCCAGCTCTTGGAGATAAGCGGCAGTGTGCGGGTGGTCGCGGTGAAGGTGCAAGGCCGCAGTGGCTGCGTGGCAAGCCTGCGCTACCAGTGCACCCGCCGGCCAGGAGAATGGAGCCTGTGATAGATCCTTTCGTAACACCAAGTATTGTACCAGGACCTGCGGCTCCGCCCCACAGGCCGCCATCTTCCCGGCCACCCGAAAGGCAGTACCTACTCCCCGGTGCATGCTGGGATTAGGGAGGGGCTCTGGGCGCCGCCATATTTTTGTACGGCGGGAGCGCAAAGCACGCCGGGACCGGTTGGATTGGTTTTGAAGGCGTGATCGGCGGGAACTCTCACACCTGCGTGGACAAGAGAACTGAGGTAGGAGAGAACCGGTGATGGACGGGACAGTGACCCGGGTGGCGGGCTGAACGGCCTTTTAAAGCTCCTTCTGTGGGCAAAGAAACCCGCTGGACCAGGGGAGTTGTGCCCTCGGGAGCTCGCCGGGGGCGGGGAGGTAGGCGTGGACACAGCCGACTCGAACCCGGGGAAGCGGGTGGCTGTGAGGTCCTAGCGGTGACACTTGGGTTACGCGGGGGCCGAGGGGGCGTGCCCGAGTGGTGTGTGCCCTGCCGGCTGGGTCTGTCTGAGTGGGAGTGGGACTAGATGTGACTTTGTTGCCTTTTTTTTTTTTTTACCAGCGAGGCTGGGTAGGTCTCGGTGGACAACTTCCTAGGAAGGCTCTTGGGAATCTGAGGAGATGGAGCCGGCAAATACTTTACGTCGAGACCGCGATAAAGGAGGTATTCAGAGGGTCACCTTCTCCCCCTTCCTGCTGCTGCCCAAAGATGACCCTTTCCTCCTGTAACTGATGTGTGGGACCTGTCCTGTTTGGGACTAGAATGGTGAAAGAAACCAATGTTGAAGAGTTAAAGGGACAGGAAGCCAGGTCACTCGACAAGGAAAAATTACTATTTCTGGGCTTCTGCCCCTTTTGAAATGTGTATACGAGTTGTATTCATAATGTGCTCAACGTTTATATTCAGAGCTACAGTTCTAGCCAGTGAGGTCTCCTTCCTTTGTCCTAGGATTTTTTTTGGGGTGGGGGAGCATTTATGCCTTACTCCTGATGGAGGGCCAGTGTGGACAGTGAGTGACTTTGGTGTTGGTTAGGTCTGGGTTGGAGTCCTGGCTCTGTCATTATAAATATTGTGGCCTTGGGCAAGTTCCTTTATTGTTCTCCTCCTCAACTTCTTCTGGAAAATGGAGGTGAAATAGCATTGTTGTGGCCATTATGGAAATTAGGTGAGTATTCTTTCTGTGCTTTCAAGTAGAGCACTAAGCACATGTACGATATAGGATGTATTCAATTAATGCTTTAATTCTTTACATGCTTTGTAAGTAAAGCATCCAGCACAAGTGTCTTAATATGTAGGGAATGTTCAAAGGATGCTTTATGATTAGAGTTGATTAGTATTATAAAACTGTGGTCTTTACTTGATCCTTTGTCAATCCATTGGAAAAAGACTTGCCTCTGAATTTGTGTCCAGAAATGAAGTTGCTTTCCTCTTTTAGTGCCCAGTAATATCTATGGACAGTTCTTGTTATTGTGTGTCTTCATAGTCCTGTGCTACTAATGCTTTTTAGAGCTCTGAAGTATTTATTCAAGCCAGATGTCTGACTCTGAGGGGTTATGTATTAGTACTTTGAAAAAGCATGCATAAATCCCAATTTTAAAAATAATTTTACATTTTAAAAAGAAATTTCTAATGCAGTTAATTTGGTAATCCTGTTTTCCTCTGGGTCATTATTGATAACTGAGAATTTACAGTATTCATATAACTTAAGGTGAGACTTTAGATAATAAATAGCATATGGCCAGGCACGGTGGCTCACACCTATAATGGCAGCACTTTGGGAGGCAGAGGCGAGAGGATTGCCTGAGCCCAGGGGTTTGAGACCAGCTTGGGCAGCTTGGTGAGACCTCATCTCTACAATAAATCAAGAAAAATTAGCCAGGCATGGTGGTGCATGTCTGTAGTTCCAGCTACTTGGAAGGCTGTGGCAGAAGGATCGCCTGAGCCCAGCAGGTCGTGGCTGCAGTGGTTGTGAGTGTGCCACTGCACTCCAGGTTGGGCAACAGAGTGAGACTCCGACTCAAAAAATAATAATAAACAGTATATGGTCAACATTTATTGTTACTTCAAGACTAAAATAAGTTTGGTGACTTTATGTATTAGAAACATGCTATAAGCAGGAGTAACTTATTCTCTAGTCTAGGCCTAATTTTGTTTCTTTTAAAATAAAGAAATTTTAGCTGGGCTCAGTGGCTCAGCCTGTAATCCCGCACTTTGGGAGGCTGAAGTGAGTGGATTGCCTGGGCCTATGGGCTCGAGACCCACCTGGGCAACTTGGCGAGACCTCATCTCTACAATAAATCAAAAAAATTAGCTGGGTGTGGTAGCGTGTGCCTGTAGTTCCAGCTACTTGGAAAGGCTGAGGTGGAAGGATTGCCGGAGCCCAGCAGGTTGAGGCTGCAGTGACCGGGAGCGGCCACTGCACTCCAGTCTGGGAGACAGTGAGACTCCAACTCAAAAAAGAAAAAAATAAATAAAATAAAATAAAGAAGTTTTGATAATCTCAAAGTTTTGGATTATCAAGAGGCTTACACCAGTTAAAGGATTATTCTACAGTCCCTTTATTCTCTACCTAAAACAATATTTAAACATGTAGCTGTTTCCCATACTGATTTTAGCCCTTTGCTTGTATTGTTTTTGCTTTCTCCTTATTTGAATTATTTCAAAAGTGAGCATTCTGAACTCCTGTGCTTATTTGAGAGGGGAAGACATGGAATTTTAGTTGCAACTTGGTCATTTCTTCAAATGCAGAGGGGTTTTGACCTTTTGTAACCTTTTTATGGGACAGAACTGACTGGCTAAGGTGAGGTGCAGCCCTAACTTCCAAGGTAAAGCAGGCTCAACTGATAGATCCTCTCTTTTCTCTAATAGCATCATTAAACAACAAGCTAATGTAGTTTTGAACACCTGTTTCTCAGAGAAATTTTGGGAACATTATCATCTCTTTGTTGTAGTAAAGTAGAATTTACCTTTTCTTGGAGTTGTCATTCTTGGAAACAGTAGTTAATAGTCTTATGTTGTTATTGTCATCATTTTTCTTAGAAAGTAAAATATATATATAACATGTGTGGTGAGTACCAAGGGAATTTTAGGTCCCCAGGGTAGAATTTGACCAGGCACCTAAATATAGTCTATGTGTACGCACTCTGTAAATCACCTCTGTGTTGAACACAAGATACTTTTTGTAAGCTCTATGAGGACAGGGACTTTGTTTTGCCACCATAGTATGGATAGCTTCTAGCCCAGTCCTTGATCCATGTATAGTCTCAGTACATAGTTGTTGGAGAAGTAGAGGTTTGTTAGTAAAGCAGTTAGTCACATGCTGATTATTAGGACTATTATGTAATTTCTTTTTTCACAAACATCATTGCAATAATTTGGATCTTTCTGTAGACATGCCAAGTGAGCTTAATCTTGCTTGGTTGTCCTTATTTTTTTTGAGTTGGAGTCTCACTCTGTCAGCCAGGCTGGAGGGCAGTGGCATGCTCCCGGCCACCGCAGCCTCGACCTACTGGGCTCCTGTGATCCTTCCACCTCAGGCTTCCAAGTAGCTGAAAATACAGGTGCCTGCCACCCCACCCGGCTAGGTTGTCCATCTTGCAGTAAATATTTACAAACCATTTACCATATCAGGGATTGTATTAGGGATGCACGGGCCAACAAAAACATGGCAGCTAATTTTGGAAATTTAAGTTTCAGCAGGAGAGATAAGCACTCAATTAATCACACTATTTCATATTCATTTAAAATATAATAGTATCTAAGGAAAAAGTACATGGTTTTTTGAGATCTTAAGAGAAGGCACTTCGTCTTGTTCTGAAGGTGCCACAAAGGTTTCCCTGTGGAAGTGCTGCTTGCACTGAGAGCTAATGAACTAGAGTAAATCTGAGTGAAGGTAGATAAAGGGGCTGGGGACGAGCATTCCATGTAGAGAGAGTCACCTGGGTTAAGGAGCTAGGCAGGTGTGAACCTAAGAGGAGGCCTCTGAAAGTGCAGAGAGAAGGAGCAGTATGGTGTGGATGAGCATAGGAGAGATACAGAGGCCAGTTAGGCCTCGAAGCAGTGGGAAGTCGTTGAAAGGCTTTAGCTAGCTGGATAACATGATCAAATTTAGATCTTGAAACATGTCTCCAGTGCAGGGGCTAGCTAGGAAACTTGTAACAGGCCAGAGATGATGATGACTTGAACTATAATGGTGGCAGTGCAGATGGGGAGAAATGGAAATATTTCAGAGATACTAGGAATGTATCAATAGGATTTGGTAAGGTTGGGATTGGGACAGGGAGAAAGAAGGTATAAAGAAGATACTAAGTATCTAGCTTATACAACTAGATGGATGGTGATCCCTTATTGAGCGATTTGAAAGAGAAAGATGATGAGTTTGGTCTTGGGCACATCTCTAGTGCCCAAGAGGTCCAAGTAGATTTCCTGAGAAAGAAAGAGGGGTCAGGGAGATAAAATGTAAGCTTCACAAAAACAAGATGTTTGTCTCTTATTCTCTCTGTATTCCCAGTGCCTGAAATAGCGCTTGGCATAAAATGGGTGCTGAATAAACATTTGTTGAACAAGGAAAACCAGGAGGCTGATATGCTAGGATTCAAGGACAGAGAGTGTTTCAGGAAGGTAGCGATCAATAGACTCATACATTTCTGGGAGGTGAAGTAAGGGAGCTTGAAAAACGTCCACTGGCTTCAGCAACATGGATGTCACAGTTGATCTTAGAGTAGTTTTGTAAAATGATGGGAACAAAATTGAGTTTAGAGTGAGCTGAGGTGTGCATAACAGATAAGGAAATGGGGAAAGGTAATACAGGTTGAACACTGAAAAATCCCAAATCCAAAATCTGAAACTTTCTGAGTGCTGACATGACATTCAAAGGAAATACTCATTTTTTATTTCCAGTTTTGGGATTTGGAAGGCCCAACCAGTAAGTATAATGCAAATATTTCAAAATCCAAAATATGAAAACTTCTAGTCCCAAAAATTTCAGATAAGAGATATTCAACCTGTATGGACAACTAACTCTTTTAAGTAATTTCCCTGGAATGGGAAGGGGATGATAGTTGAAAGGGGTGGGTGGACAAGAATGGGCCTGAGAGTCTGTATGTGTTTTGAAGACAGGTGAGACTTGAGCATGTGTGAAATGGTTCCATTAAGGAAATGATACAGCAGGGAAAAGGGATAACTGATATTCTAGGGTTTCTGAGAAAGCAAGAGGGTTAGGCGTCAATGATTAAAATTGGATAATTCTACATATAGTGTCTATTTCTGCGTGATCTCACAGTTGTCCCCCTTTCCCTCACCCGGTGATATAAGCCAATCATAAGAGAGTGTGAGTTTCTAGTCTTAAGTAATAGGTGAATGAGATATTATTGAACTATCTCAAGGCAAGGAAAGAAAATTAAGATTTTCTTATACGTATATCCTTATGAACCCTACAAAATAGATGTTGGGTCTACTTAAACCCAATTAAATAAAGTCTGATAGTTAAAAGTATAGAATTTGTGTGAGGAGATTATATCTAGTCTTTGGTGAGGTCATAATGGTATCAACCTTTTTTTTTCCTACACTAGAGATGTGCTTTGGTGATAAACCATAGGCCTGGATAAATACTACTGCCTAATCAGCCTGTGATAGACAATTCACATTCTCTTTCATGCATAGTATCCTGGTCAGGGACTGTTTTTACATCACTCTTCAACCTAGGAGGTTGTTGATCTTTTATTTCAGTTGTCAGCATATATAACAATTCAACTGGCCACAAAGTTCTGGAAGAAAAAATCACTATCTGTTATTCCTTGAAATGTTTCCTATTGCCAGAGTTAGAAATCCTTGACTTCTTCTGACATTCCCCTTTGACTTCCCTTAGGTGTTTTAGCTCACTTGGAAAGACTAGAGACCCGAGTAAACAGATCCCATAAACAATCGGAAGAGCTACAAAGAGCGCAGGCAGCAGAAAATGCTCTTGGAACCAAGATTCATAAACTGAGATATCTGCGAGATAAGCTGAGGGCTGAAGTGAAGCACCGGCAAGTGAGTAGAAAGGTAGTGCTGACAGGCTTTCCCAGGGTGTAAGGCGCAAACATGGCCTGGGGATTGGTGAATTTGTATAATGTTTTTTTCACTTGTGACCTTACTAGATCAATTTCAGTCTTTGATCCATTAGTGATCAAACATGTAGAGTTGCAGCTGATATCACCATAAACTAACAATTGTCAAGCACTACTGATGGGGCAGGCAAGTTCTTCCTAACAGATTCTTAACCTGCCCCCATACAAGATCTGACAATTAAATTCATGAAGTTGTTCTAGAAAAAGTGCTACATTCCTCATTGCTGAATATCAGTATGGTTACCTTCAAAGTACTCCCCTTGGGAAGCTATGTACCAACGCCAGTGCTTAGTCCATCCATCAGAGCAATTTTGGAACACTTTTTCTGGAATGACAGTCAGAGCTGTTGTCATGAGAATGTCAGAGTTTGAATTAGAGCAATGAACAAACATTAAATTTCTTAAATTTGGCAAGAGTGGAAGTGAAATGAGGGGCATGCTAGTCCAAGTTGATAGGGATCATACCATGAAGAAAACGGCAGTGTACAAATGGATTAAACGTTTTTCTGAGGGGAGAGAAAGCATCGCTGATGAAGAAAGAGCAGGACAGCCAGTATTGAACAGAACTGATGAAAACATTGCAGAAATTCATCAAATTGGGTGTTTAAATCATCAGCCGACCATGGGAAACATAGCAGGCCAAACAAACAGCCATAGAGAAACAGTTAGGAAAGTCTTAACCGAGAATCTTCACATAAGAAAGATGTGGGCAAAAATGGTCCTGAAGGAGCTCTTGCACCACGACAGTGTACCAGCTTATACAGCTCTGTCTGTGAGGGAGTTTTCAGCCAGTGAATAAATAACTGTATTGGAACACTCTCGCTACTCACCTGATCTGGCCCCCAATGACATTTTTCTTTACCTGAAGATAAAGGAAATAGTAAAAGGAAGACATTTTGATGACATTTGGGACATCAAGGGTAATACAACAACAGCTCTGATGGCCATTCCAGAATTGTTGTGATGGGTGGACTAGGTGATGGCATTGGTGCATAGCTTCCCAATGGGAGCACTTTGAAGGTAATTGTAGTGATATTTAGCCATGAGGTATGTGACACTTTTTGTAGGATGCGTTCACAAACTTAATTGTCAGACTGCATAAACACCTAAGCCTATTACCTCAGTTGCAGCCCGGCTTGAGTCATTTGGTACTTTTGTCGCTAGTGACATCTTTCTATCACCCAGACTCAACCTCACAGGAAACCTGACCTTGTCTTCATTTCAGTTTTCTGTCTAGCCCAGGGTCAGTCAGCAAAATCTGTCACATTTTCTTTTATATTGTCTTTCTGCTTCCTGCCTCCATTGTCATAGCGCAAATATTATCCACATAAGTAGTAAATATTTATAAGGTGACTTGGATACCATAATTATTAAAATAGTCTGGTAGTTAGTCTCTCTTCTGATATTTCTCATTCTCCAATAAATTCTGCACAGCCAAGAAAATACATCATGAAATGCCACTTCATTTTCTTGCTCAGATACCTTCAGTGACCATTCATTCCCCATAGGGTAAGGTCAGCCTTCCTGCTGCCTTTCCTTTTTCTCCTTTCTCTCTTTCTTCCTCCCTCTCCTCTTTCCTTTGTGTTTTTATTAAAGGAAAAAAAATATATAAAGTGCACAAGTCTGTTTAACTGTTTCACACAGTGAGCACAACCAGGTAACTACCACACAGACCAAAGTATAGAATCTTGCCTGTCTGCCAGAAGTCCCCCTTTTGCCTCCTCCTTGTCACTGTACTGATTTCTGACACCATAGAATGGTTTTACTTTTTTTTTTTTTAAGATCCAGGGGGTACATATGTATATTTGTTACATGGGTATATTGCATAGTGGTGAGGATTGGGCTTCTAGTGTACCCATCACCCAAATATCAAACATGTGTCCAATAGGGAGTCTTTTTTAAATATACACTTTGTATTTTATTTGTTTATATCTTGCTGTGCCTTTGAGTTTTTCTTTCCTTGTGTTTTGCCTTTGCTTATGTCTTTTTATTTTTATTTTATAGAAATGTGGGGTACAAGTGAGGGTTAACTACATAAGTAGGCTGCATGCAGGTGAAGTTTGGGCTTCTAACTGGCCCTCACTCGCCCTGGTAATGGATTAGGTACCCTTTGTGTTATCACGTGCCCCTCACCTCCTAGCAGTGTTATCACGTGCCTCCCTCCCTCCCCTAGCAGTGCCCAGCGACTGCTGATCCCTCCTTGTGCTAATGTGGCTAGTGTTCAGGGCCCACTTACGAATGAGAACATGTGGTATTCGGTTCTTTGATTCTGTGATAGTTCACTTAGTATGATGGTCTCTAGCTCCATCCAATTTGCTGCAAAGTCCATTATTTTGTTCTTCTTTATGGCTGCATAATACTCCACTGGGTATATGTACCACATTTTCTTTATCCAGTCTACTACTGACGGGCAACAGGGTTGGTTCCATGTTTTTGCTATTGTGAATAGTGTGACAGTATACATGCTTGTACAGATGTGTTTTTTGTAGAGCAACTTATGTTCCTCCAGTTATATTCCCAGGAGAGGGATTGCTGGATCGATGGAAGGTCAGTTTTTAGTTCTTTTAGCAATCACCACACTTTTCCATAGAAGTTGAACTAGCTTGCAGTCCCACCAGCAGTGTAGAAGAGTTCCCTTTTCTCCACACCTGCATCTGTTGTTTTTTGACTTATTAATGATAGCCATCCTTACCAGAGTTAGGTAGTCTCATTGTGGTTTTTTTGTTTTGTTTTTTGGGGGTTTTTTTGAGTGAGAGTCTCACTCTGTCACCCAGTAACATGTTTATGGCTACCACAGCTTTGACCTGCTGGACTCACTCAGGTGATCCTTCCACCTCAGCCTTCCAAGTAACTGAAACTACAGGTGTGTACCACCATGCCCAGCTATTTTTTTTTTTTTGAGTTGGAGTCTCACTCTGTTGCCCATACTGGAGTGCAGTGGCCACTCCCGGCCACCGCAGCCTCGACCTGCTGGGCTCTGGTGATCCTTCCGCCTCAGCCTTCCACTAATTTTTTGATGTATTGTAGAGATAGGGTTTCGTCAGAGACAGGGTTTCATCATTTTGCCCAAGCTGGTCTCAAACCCCTGGGATCAGACAGTCCTCTCACCTCTTCCTCCCAAAGTGCTGGGATTACAGGTGTGAGCCACCACGCCTGACTGTCCTACACATCTTGATGTTTTATTTTCATTATAATTTCCATTCAAAATGTTTTCCATTGTGTTATTTTCTTTGGCCCATTGGATTGTTTTAGAAGTATACTGCTTAATTTCCAAAAATTTGAGTATTTGTTAGTTATTGGTTTTTTTTTTTTTTTTTTTTGAGT